CTGTGCTCTGGTGTATAATTATATATTTGTTGATTTAGTCCTTAAAATACAACATTATATTCTCGTAGAAGAGAATCATGTTTTGAACTCATTTGGCTGCACGTCGATCCTATTCTAAAAGAGAAAACCACAAAACATAACCAGTGTCACAACATTTTGAAAGAGAGAGAGAGAGAGAGAGAGAGAGAGAGAGAGAGAGAGAGAGAGAGAGAGAGAGAGAGAGAGAGAGAGAGAGAGAGTAGTAGCTCACTGTAGGTGGTGAACATTTTAAGATACCTGTTCAGTTTCTATAGCTGGCTCATGTGTAATATTTCTATACCTCTAAATGATAAGTTTGACTGAACAATTTGATTATTTCCAATTTAAGATGGAAACACGACCGAAAAACGCTAAAGGAAGACGAACGTCAACCATGCACTCGATTACAGTTTCTTGCCTCAAAACCACAGTGACTTGTCTCTGAATTTTTTTTCCTATATACCTTGATTTTTTTCAGAGACAAGTGCCTGTGGTCCAAACTTACAAACAGCATCGGTCAATTTCTACATCGTGCTTTAAAATACATCTGAAATCATAACTATAGATTGTACTCATACAGGGCTTGGTCCCTTGTTCTCGGAGTATACCTCGAGAACTAGGTTTGAGAGAGTTTCAATAGTGTCATATACTTTCAAGCCATGATGGTCGAATTAAATTCCAGATCGGTTTTAATCGAGCTTGACAGGACATTTGTAATTCGGGTAAGGGCAACATAAATTGGTCAAATCTTACGGTGAAAAGGATTACCTAACAGAAATTAGAGAAGTATTTAGTAATGTTTGGTGTTTCAGTCTATATATATAGTTTTAAGTTCCTTTCAGTCAATCATTAAAGGCCCCGACATGACATGCAAATTTGTAAAAAATCAAGTGAAAAAACCAACAGCAGATCAAAAAACAAATATAACCGACAGCAACCACCATAGCTGAATTACAGTCTCCTGACTTATAAATCGGAGGCGGAATCAAGTGAGTGCCCTATAGAAGAGCCTCGTGTTTCGAAAAGAGATACGGCTAATTTCCCATGTATATTTTTCACTAAAGTAAGTTATTAAATTTATAAATAAGAAGATATGGTATTATGGCAATTTTCTACCACTAAAACCTATTAGGATCCGAATACTTAAGTCATTTGAAAGTGTCTTTATGATATTCTTGCACAAATTATCAACAATTTCAAAGTATAAAAATAAAACTGGTTGTCATCACAGACTATACATGTAGCTTTTGTGTTGAAAGACGTCTCTAAATCAAAATTAATTAATGTCTATATTAATAGGGGGGGGGGGCATGCAGGAGGCAAAATTTAAATGTCTCGAGTATAAGAAATATCGTATCACACTCGATGAAGTGATGGTATAAATGTATATTTGAACCGTGTCCTATTTGCATATACTACAGTAAAAAATATTTAAATTCAACTGAATTATCATTATAAATTTTCCAACTGCATCAAGCACCCAACTGCCTTCCTTGTTTTAGAATATACAATTAAAGAGGTAGAAAATGTAGAAACATGTGTAAAAATAAAAAGATATGGTATGATTGTCAGTTTTAAATGAGAAACCGTGAACTCTCTACCAGAGAACACTATTGATCACTGGTGTTAAACTGATGGCGGAGGTAGAAATCGGTAAAAACATTTTCTGCTTATTTCTTCGTGTAAACGTGTTGTTTTCAAGAATTACTCAGCCGCCAGCTAGTTGATCTCTACGATTTTGTTTTGTGTGTGTGTTCTTAATATAATATATGGTCTCTTTACCAAGGTAATAACCATCGAAAATTAAAGGAGGATAAACGTAACTCCAAAAAAAAAGATAATCGTAACTTGTGGACAAATATAAATTGGAAAGATAATCGTAACCGTAGAAAATATGTCCATGATAATCGTAACTGATTTTTAAGACCTTCTGCAAACGGAATACTAGTATCTGATTAAAAGATTGCGGCAATTTGCGTCATAATAAAAAATAACGCGTTAACAGCAATCAGGATTGAAATACTCTTTTAAAATAAAGTATGTTTGCAATTTTTTTATACAAATATTGGTCTACTTTTCTGTACTGCCACCGTAATTACGCTATATAAGGCAGCTTCGATTATATCAGAAAACGTTTTAAGAATTGGAATAAGTCACGGAATCTCCTGATCCTGATCCTAAGGGTAAATTTGACACAGTACTACTTTGTTTCCTCATATGGTATACCATTACTCAAAGTAATTTCTCACAGTACTTTAGTATACTTGTTTAGGCGCAGCATCGGGATTCAGGGCTTATCAGTTCTATAAATCGCCTTGATCTAGCTATGTATTCCCCTACAATTTGAGATGTTGCTCCGTCAAGTTTCTCTCTTTGGTGCACGTGGTGACGATATTGATTCTATGTCTGTTGGGCGTGTTCATTATTTCCACCTGTCTCAACATGTCTTCTCTTTCCGGTTGGTGTCTTGGGCTGTATAGTAAGAAATGTTCTGTTGTTTATATAATGGCGTATGACATATAAGGCGTGAGGGATTGACATATTTAGTTTCTGTATTTATTCAATGTGCTGTAACCTGTTCTCAGTTCTTAAAATATTCATCCTATTTGGGGATTTGGTGTGTCAAATTGTACATCCTTCCCAATAATAGGTACTTGATCAAAAAGTTGTCTCCCAGTTTCACAAATTGTCCATCTTCTTTGCCATTTCAATTGTGTAGACATGTTAACTGCGCTTCTTACTTCTGGCGTTGTTATGACATTATATTGGTCGTTTAGGCCTCCTTTGCAGCATATTTTGTCAATTGGTCCGCTATCTCATTACTGACTATATGAGCATGGCCTTGGGATCCAAGATAGGGTTGTTAGTATGTCGTGTTTCAAGAGTGTCCCCATGCTTTCTCTCATGTCTGTTATTGTGTTTGAAGATTTCCAGTTTTGAGTCAAGATGCCTACAGCAGTCTGGCTATCTGATATTATTTTGACCTCAGAGAACTAAGTTCGACTCTTTTCACAAAAAATCTTAAGAGTAAAAATACTCGTAAGTCATACACATTTCAGTATAACTTACGATCAATTTTAATCGTAAGATTTTTTGTGAAAAGAGTCGCTCAAAAATCTTACGATTAAAATTGATCGTAAGTTATACTGAAATGTGTATGACGTACGAGTATTTTTACTCTTTAAGATTTTTTGTGAAAAGGACCACTGGTCTTTAATTGTTTAATGCAGTGCTCCAGAACCATTAGTTAATTACCACCTGCATGCTTAGGAAATTCAGCAAACTGCTGATCCGGGCCTGTGACGGAGGCGGTATATAGCGGCTTCTAATGAATATTTCGTCTTTGTTGATTCTCTATCAAAGCAATCTCTGTGTTGATCTGTTCCACTAGTTTCTTTATATATTATTTGTTGATCTCGATCCTCGATGAATTATCTATCAAATAAGTCAGCTGTCAGTCCCCAAAGAAGATACTTTCTTTCAATGTACAACTTTACCTTTATTGTCAAATATCGGATCTTTATTTTCAACAATTAATGGTAGCACTGAGTAATGTTTTGTTTTCCTGGACATCTTTTTGTAGGTTTTCCAAAAATTCTTTCAAATTAGAGTAACTTAGCCTGGTTTATCTGGTTTACGAGGTTATTACACCATTCTACTTGTGTCTTTTCTTTTGCTTTATCAAAGTTATCTTCTGCAGTGTTTGTTTTTTGGTATGTTCCTCATTCTGTATTGTTTCTGTCAGTGATAAAGATGTTTTTGGCTGATGTCACAATGCTATTACTTTATCGTCCAGCTACCGCTACCACTTGGGCCACAATATTTACGACTATAATGCCCCTATGTTAAAACTATAATAAATTATAGCTTCCATGGATTATATCTTAATTTAACACTCTTAGTAACTTACCTTTATTTGTATTTAGATTATATGTGTGTATATATATAAGGGGGGGGGGGGGGGGGGGGGGACTAGGGTGAAATTTGAAAAAAAAGGCAGGACAGGAGTTTTGAGTAAAAAAAGGCAGGATGAGCAACTTGGCGGCCAAAAAAAAAAGGCAGGATGACAATTTATGTAAAAAAAAGTCAGGATAAACTAATAAAAAAAGGCAGGATCGAATAGATTGAAAAATAAAAAGGCTGGACAGAAATTACAAATAAAAAAAAATGCAGGACAAAATTTTTCATCTTAGCCCCCCCCCCCCCCCATTAAAATCAAATGGTAGCTCCCTAACTGCAGTTACCGCGATCAGTTTAACACCAGTGATTGATGTAGAAGGTAAGAGCCAATTTCCCCTGTATATCAATTTTGGTTCACTCTGAAGGTCAAGATATACAAAAGTTAATTTTCAAATCCTACTGAAATTTGAATGTTAAGCGGAATAGCGAAAGTATATCACATCAACACTGAATCAGTTTACCAAGGATTACTATACAAATCCTTACTATACAAATCATTGGTTTACCACAGGCCTAATCTAATTAAAATATAGAACTCTGATTTTTCTACATTACATAAGACTCTTATGTAGTGTAGAGAATCAGAGTTCTATATTTTAATTAACTTGATTGACCACAGGCGCTTTGGTCATATGGCACTCCTTTTTCTTTCCTCTCTTTTTGTATTTTGTACCTTGTATTAAAAGTCACGCATACACTGCCGTTAATATAGGTTTGCATGGATAGAAGAAAGAACACATATAAATGAGGAAACATAACTTGAAATATAATGAAAATTTATTAAAAAGTCTAACTTGATTGCAGTCAGTATAGCATTTTTGTCATGAAGAAAACAAAAATCATAATGCAGCTATGATAAACGAGAGTCATTCAGTGAACTCAGCTGCAAAATTTCTGTTCGTTAATATTTTTTAGGGAATGTCAATGTTTTTTTTCCTTGTTACTTGGAGTTTTTCTTGTTTGTAAAATTGTAACAAGTTTCACCTCGGGCACTTGCGCATGACAGGAGTTATCTACCTTTGTGACGTTCTTTTTGACGCGTGTACAAATTTCACAGTCGAACCGGTCAGCGAAAGTGCCACATCACAATCACCAGCGAAAATGTCAAGCAAACAAGCAAAGAATAAACAATTGACAAAAGAAGAGGAGCTTCTCCTTCAAGATTTCAGCAGAAATGTATCAACAAAATCTTCAGCTCTGTTTTATGGGAATGCTTTAATCGTTTCAGCCATCCCAATATGTAAGTCTAAAAAATTATTTTAGGTCTCATCTTCACAGGCACTTGTTTCTATCCATAGGAAGCCCACTATCAACATATAGTGGGGCTTCCAATGGATAGAAACAAGTGCCTGTGCTCATCTTTTCTGTTCGTGAGATCCACGACCATATAGCTATACCAGAAACATATGTGTGTATATATGTCTCTGGCTATACAAATGTTATGTCTTATGTTTAGACAAACACCTTCGTAAATAAAACACGGAAGTTGCATATATCATACATTCATCATGTTCATATGCAGATATGCAAACCAACTGATGTTTATGATGTCAAATTACACTTTAACCCTCCCCTTATTTCCCATGATATCACACGCTCATCGAACTTAAGGTTCATCATAACAAATGGACAAAAATGGCTGTATTTACACCTCAAAAACTACTCTGTGTACAGACTTACCTGTCCAGTTTGGAAAGTTTTAAGGCCTGGCATCCACTAGATATATAAAAGTTAAATGCATTTTGTGTTTCAGAAAGATGAAATCTTTTTTGGATTTTGATGGCCATTTTTTTTCCTTTCTGCAGAAGGTGTAAAAATTAACTAAGTTGGGATAAAACTTTGAGATGCTCCCTCTCAGGTAAAAACTGTATTGTATTGTATTGATTGGCCTTGATTGACACGGACAATAGACAGACAATAGGTATCTACACAACTATAGGTGAGTTAAAGGGTTTAACTGAGTGGACAGTATCAAAGCAATTCAGGTGTTTGTTTATTTTTACACCTTCTGCAGAAAGGAAAAAAAATGCCCATCAAAATCCAAAAGTGATTATATCTTTCTGAAACAAAAAATGCATTTAACTTTTATATATCTAGTGGATGCCAGGCCTTAAAACTTTCCAAACTGGACAGGTAAGTCTGTACACAGAGTAGTTTTTAAGGTGTAAATACAGCCATTTTTGTCCATTTGTTATGATGAACCTTAATATGACGAATAAGAAATTATTTTACTTTTTGCTACTCAATCAGGAACTGTTAATTGTTACAGTTTACCATATCATATGGTATTAGTTTTGATCCCGTTGTCGTTGAAGGCTGTTCAGTAATGATCACAGCTCTTTTCCCAAAAAATCTTAAGAGTAAAAATACTCGTAAGTCATACACATTTTAGTATAACTTACGATCTCAATTTTAATCGTAAGATGTTTTGTGAAAAGAGTCGCTGATCTTCATTATTATATTTTGATATTCAACAATAAAAATTTATAAAATGGAAGGCAAATAAGTTAGGAGCAATTTCATCATGATTCATGGTCATGCCTCACGGCACTTATTGTTTTTTTGCATGTCCTTAATTTTAATTTGATAAGGAAACGACAGACCAGTTTAATTTTAAATTGATAAGGAAACAACAGACCAGGCAGAAAAATAACCTACAAGAAAAGAGATGTCATAAAACTTTTACACTTTATTTTCATTTAAAAGTTGCCTTCTATTCATTTTTCTATCACAAAAATATGGCATTTCTCTTCTTTATACTTTTAGCTCATTATTCTGTATTCTTTATTTTTTTTTTTGCCCATTATTCTCTATTCTGAAAACCCCCATCCACATCCTCGATTATGAATGCTTGTCAGATTCCTCCTTCATTGTAATGCGCACAGACTGAGGTTTGGTTGCCTCTGCTGATGCAGGCCTCTACAATAACTTTTTTTTCAACTTGTCCAGTAGGACAAGTACAACCCAAAACTTACTTGTCCGAATGAAATTGTAACTTGTCCAAAAAAAATCTTAATAATAACCTTTTTGGCATTTTAAGTTGATTCTAGGAACAAAATGAATTAAAACAATAGAACAGAATTTGATTTATATCTTTTGAAATACTTTTCAAAAATATGAGTCGAGAACAACTGAATCTAGTCATGTCACAGGGCTTAGGTTCTAGTTTTTATAAATGCCAAAGTATCATCAGACTCTGCACATGAGGCACCGTCTGATAGGCCTGTCAATGTACACTCATTGGATTTGTATCCTGGTTGTTTAAGTTGAAAAAAGATTATTCAAATGCAATCAATAAAAAAAAGAAGATGATGTATGATTGCCAATGAGACAACTCTCTGCAAGAGACCAAATGACACAGAAATTAACAACTATAGGTCACCGTATTGCAAGTATTGTTTCTTTCTACATATGATCAAATATGATTTTGTGAATTCTATGGTAAATAATTTCTTCATTTTTATTTAAAAAATATTTTTGTTAAAAAAATTACCGGTATGGTATTTATTATAAAGCAACAGAATAAGGTAGGAAAACCAGGTACTGATTTGTCTTGGTCCCGAAATGTCTCCTGCGTTGCCAAACTGTCTATTAATCATGTCTATTAAATATGTCTCCTACGGTGCCAAACTGTCTATTAAACTTGTGAGCCGAATGAATCGTTTCCGAGCTGGTGACGAACTGTCTTGTAAAGTTACCTTTTCTACAAAGCGCATCGCTGATTCGGATCAGTAAAACTGGTTTCCGAGATAGTATGCCTTTTACCTATTAAAAAGTACCTGACAAAGAACCAGTTTAAAATTATCGGTTTGCAAGTAAACAGGTCAAATTAATACTTGTTTTTATCTTCTTTTCTTGTTTTTTGTTTATAATTACTTTGTTCATCAAAGTTGGATTAAATTTATTTTCTGCAGAATAATTTTACTTGTCCCGTCGGACAAGCTTGATATAGCTTTTACTTGTCCGACCTTTTTTTCCTCTGGTACCGGACAATCGGACAAGCGTTATTGTCGAGGCCTGTGATGAGATAGAGACAGGTATAGACTGTTAGAATTTTTTCATTATCATCATATTTACTTATGTTTTCTTCATGCTCTCTTTAAGCATTTGCTCAGCTTGATATATACAAAGACCAGACAACAAAAATAAAATGAAATTTGACAAACTTCAAGGGTTTATGTATACTATCAATTGTATAATTTATACCCATTTTTGGGTTTGTTTAGTACTTATTGTTTTGTATTTTGTATTCAGGGCTGTTTTGGAGAATTCACCAGATGGATTTATACCAGTCTGGGATTTTGTTTGCAATTGGAACCGTCATTAGCACTTACCTGGTAGCTCTTGCTTACAAAAATGTCAAGTTTGTTCTTAAACACAAGTAAGTACAAATGTTCCTGTAGCATGTGAAGTTGTACATTTGTTTTGATCTTGATCAGTTAATTGAGTAAAATTTTGCTGTCCTACAGTTATATTCTCAGTTTTCAGCATACAGAAATACATTGTAGTTATTTTCCATGGAAACAGGTCTTTCAAAATTCCCTATATATACAATGTATAGAAAATTTCTGGATTGTTCATGACCATGATGACTGGACATATAAAATTATTTGTTATATACATTGAAGACCTCAAAATGGGTGTTCAAAGAAGTTAGAATGACATTTAAACACACATATAACTGTACTCCCTCAAAGTGGCAGTAAGTTAGATAAAAAACACATTACATACATGTACAAAAAATGCATAACAGGTCAGTCGTTCCCGAGGTTGCTGGGCATTGGACAAATTTCAATAAAAATTGATTTGGTCCAGTTAAGTGATATGCATACTGGACTAACTGACCAGTAAAATTTTTAATTTTGTCCTAATCATATGTGTAAATGTCCTATAAAAAAGAGTCTGGTCCAGTTAAGAAGAATGATTTACTGGACCAAATGTCCAGTTGATTTCTCAAAGCCTTGGGAACCGCTGACAGTATGTATCATCCTGAAAATCCTATATGGTCCATTGGAGATTTTGATAAAACTGGCAGGTATTAGGTAAACGTATCGCTTATTTTCACTTTCCTTAGATACAGATTTTCACTTGCCTGACAGGAAGTAGTTATCTTAAATGATACATGTATGATGTTGATAAATAGATTATGTTGCAGGAAAACTTTATAATTAGTCCCCTACCGACGAAGTCGAAGGGGACTTTAGGTTTGCACTCTGTCCGTCTGTCCATCCGTCAGTCCGGCAAATCAACTTTTCACACTTTTTTTCTTTGTTCTTGAAGATATTGATTTGATATATAGTTTTGCCATGACAAGTTATAGATCAAAAAAGTTCGAATTTTGTTCCGATCTGATGATTTAGTTCAGAGTTATGGACCATAACTCTGGACCATATCCAGGGGTTTATCTGGGTATTTTGGGAAAAAGGACCCTGGCCAGTTTTGGGAATTTTTTAACGCGGTTTTCAATGAAATTGGGAAAAACAACCAACATACCAGATGTTAGTTTTATAGTGTGTTTAGTTCATTCCAATTTTTTTTTTGTTGGTGAAAATAAAGTAAGGACTACACCTTCTTGGTTTTTAAATATAACAACAAGGCATTAAAATTTATTTGAGTATAAAAAAAAATGAGTTCTTAAAGGATTGTTACATTTTTTTGATTTTGACATGAAAATTTGTGAACTCAAATATTTTGAGTTCTGTATAAAATATATCCTGTTTCTATTTTCTTTTTTATATATCTTTTAGTTTTCAATTTTAGTGTTGCTATGATAGCTGTCACATGCTTGGTTCTTTTTATTTTTATTTACTGTATTTGATCGACAAACCCGGAATTATAGCCGTATCCGTTTCCAGAATTGATCTGGTTTGAGTATTTTCCCACACTTCCTGTTTATTTATGGCAGCCATTGATTGTAAATGTTGTTTTGTCAAATTATGTTTCAACTTGGATTTACACAGTACTTATTGGCGATTTTTGGCTTAAAGCGGTTGAATAAATAAACATTTCTGTCATGATTAATAAAGATGAAAATGAATTTTGTGATCATTTGGGAATTTTGCTTCCAAAATTGGGAAAAATGTAGGGTTTTTGCCGTTGGGAATGGGTCCGAATACCGGACCCTGTGGAATGCTAGAAAAATCCATGATATCTAATGTTAGAGTACTATGTTAAACCATATTTCTGTACAAAGGGAGATAACTCATTTTTTAAAAGACATTCTTTGGTAAATTATTTGAAGAATTTTTTGGCAGGTTTGTTTGTCATTTTGTATAAACTAATGTTCTGAATGCTATATATATATATATATAAATTATGAAGGGAAATCCTTTAATTAGATAATAATCTATTTTTATTAATGTATATATATTACATTACATTGTGTAGATAAAAATTGCTGACATTTTATAGATACGTTACAAATCTATATTAGTTTGTGACAAATAAAAGAAAAAATATTTGGAACTATTGATTATATTTGATTATAATTTGAAAATAGATATACACTGTATTACATCATATCTAATTTTAGAGAACTTATTAATCATATCTAATGTTAAAGTGTTTTCCACACTTTTTTTCATCATGCTTGAAGATATTGATTGATAATTGGTATATAGTTTTATCATGACAAGTTATACAGATCAAGTTCGAAATTTTGTTTCGGTCTGATAATTTTGTGCAGAGTTATGGTCCTTGGACTTGAAAAATTAACTCATTTAATCAGTTTTCCACACTGTTTTTAGTCATGCTTGAAGATATTGACTTGATATTTTCTTTTTGTTTACACCATGACAAGTTACAGAACAAGTTAGCTTTTTGTTCCAGTATAATGAATTTTTACCCGGTAGGGAACTATGTATTGCCATTTAATACTCTCAGAATGCTTGTTTCATCACTGTTTATGTTGTTCAATTTAACTACTGTAAATTCAGAATTTATTGTGTGCATTTATTATTGTGATTTTTCAAAAATGGACAAAAATGCCAGTTTAATTATTGCGATTTCAGAAACATCTACATACAAATCTGTATTTTACTTATCAAAATGCTTATTATTGCGCTAGTCACCTTGTCGCATTATTCGCATCAATAAAAACCTCGCAATAATTTCTGAATTACAGTATTTGGATAAAACAAAGATAGGAACAAACATTATATAAAGTCATTGGTGTACCCTAGAATAAAGTCAAACTATCCTTGATTGTTGTATCTTATAATATGAATCATTGTTAACTTGCAGGATAGCACTTAAGAGGGAAGATGCTGTTTCCAGGGAGATGACAAAAAAGTTTGCTGATGACAAGAAAATGACCAAAAAAGAAAAAGATGAAAGGTTTGTTACCTACATCATTTCATGTATATAGAATTTCTGATGATTCTCTCTTCATAATATTTAGTTAATACATGTAGATTGGACATGTTTTTGAGGGGTTACAGATTGATAATCATACATACATGTCATTGTCTGTCCCAAGTCTGGAGCCTGTAATTCAGTGGTCGTTTATTGCTGTATATCAGAATTGTTTTTCATTTATTATTTTGTACATAAATCAGACCCTTAGTTTTCCTGTTCATGCTGTTTGAATTTTTTTACATTTGTCATTTCGGGGCATTTAATGACTGACTATGCGATATGAGTTTTGCTCATTGTTGAATGCTGTACAGTGACATATAGTTGTTAATTTCTACATCATTTGGTCTCTTCTGGAGAGTTGTCTCATTGGTAATCATACCACATCTTTTTATTTTTATGTTTTATATTAGATCCAATTGAACATTATTTCAAAAGCGTTTACAAGAAATGGTCAAGAGGCACTTTGATAAAATTTAGTGTAGGTACTGTTATGTTCGTTTAGTTTGAATTAGAGGAAATTACTAAACAGTCAGTCAGTCAGTTTAAATCTTATTCTTGGTGGAGGACTGAAAAATATACCAACATTTCCCTCAGTAACCATGGTAACTATCTTTTATCCCTTCACCCTTTCTCATCCCTTTCAAATGATATTTTAAATTTAGATTAGGACTGTATCATAAAACATATATGCAGTATATGAAACCAAGGGAAGGCACTTCAAAATTATTGATGGTTGTTAAATAATTTTATGAACATTGAGTATGTAAGTGGATTTCTAAAATTGCTTCTATATGAAATAAGATGTGGTATGATTGCCAATTACACAACTATCAAACGGAGTTCAAATGAGGCAGATATAAGCAACTATAGGTGGTTACCCAATTTTCAACGTGCCTTCCCTTGATACCATGTCTATTTTAATAGAACTTTGAACGTGCCTGGTTGCATATTGTACACTTTGAGCATTTCTAATAAAGATAAATCTGGAAAAGCAGTACTGTCATGATTTTTAAATCTTTCTTAATTTTTTTTTATAAATTTATTCTAAGGTTCCAACTCCCTCAGGCAAACCTCTGGCTATTATTTTAGGGTCTCTTTTGGTATTACTGTAATATAGCTCTTTGTGTGATTCTGTACTTGTTCATCCTTGGCATTCGTAAATTTGGTTTTAAGCATTCCTGATGAAGGTAAATCCAGAGAAAAGCTTCAGATGATAATTTATAAAGTTTTATTTTCATTTATTTTTAGGATTCTGTGGAAAAAGAATGAGGTTGCTGACTATGAAGCTACAACATTTTCCATCTTTTACAACAACGCCCTCTATCTGGCCCTGCTGATTGTCTGCTCCTTCTACGTTCTTAGAAGTGTTGGACCTACATTGTATCCTTATAATTATATCTACTTATGATTGACAGTGGTTTATGGGATATTTTACCATAGGTGTACACATGTTTTTGTGAAAATTTTAGTTTACTCCAATTGCAAGTGGAGCTTAGCAGAGCGAGGGTTTTTAGATAAAGCTTGCCTATTGTGAAATTAAAGATAACCCACTGGATCAAGTGTCCAGAAACGGTCTTCCAGTCATGACCAATTCTAAAAGGTCCATGATCTAAATGTATTTTAGGATTTAGGTATAAAAAAAAACTACATTATTTTAAATGAAAATTTTCAAAGATTGGATATATAATAATTATTGACATGGTTTGTTAGATATTGCATCCTCGTCTATTTAGTCTTGTATAGTTGTCTCATTGACGATCTTACCATATCTTTTAATATTTGTATTACAAATTAATTTTACTCTTATACACATGTATTTAGTAGATTAACCCTTTTCAAAAGCCATCCTTTTCAATTTTTATGCCCCCGCCGTAGCGGTAGGGGCATTAAGTTTTACCCTTGTCCGTCTGTACGTACGTCCCAAAATTGGTTTCCGTTCTCTAACTTGAGTTTGCCTCAACCAAATGTTATGAAACTTATACACAATGCTTATTACCACAATACAGAGATCAAGTTTGAATTTTGGTGGCGTCACTTTAAGCGTTGTAGAGTTATGCCCCTTTATAAATGGAAAAATTGCAAAATTTTTAGTTTCCGTTCTCTAACTTAAGTTTGCCTCAACTAAATGTTTTGAAACTTCTACACAATGCTTATTACCACAAAACACAGATCAAATTTGAATTCTGGTGGTGTCACTTTAACCGTTCTAGAGTTATGCCCCTTTGTTAATGGAAAATTGCAAAATTTTAGTTTCCGTTCTCTAACTTAAGTTTGCCTCAACCAAATGGTATGAAACTTATACACAATGCTAATTACCACAAAACACAGATCAAGTTTGAATTTTGGTGGCTTCACTATAACCGTTCTAAAGTTATGTCCCTTTATAAATGGAAAAATTGCTAAATTTTTATTTTCTTCTAAATATGAAGTTATTTTTAAAATTGGAGTTATCTTCCTTTGTCCATGATTATAGTTGAATCAACTAAAATCGATGCTTTATACAATGCAATGTTTAATTTTGATCTGATAAAACACAGATCGAGTTGAATTTGGGTAGTGTCACTTTAACCATTATTGAGTTATGCCCCTTTATAAATCGAAAAATTTCAAAATTTTTAGTTTCCATTCCGTAACTTAAGTTTGCCCCAACCAAACATTATGAAACCTACACACAATATTCATTACCACAAAACTAAGATCAAGTACAAATTTTTTGTTTCCATTTTCCGACTTTAGTTTGTTACCATTCTTGAGTTATGTCCCTTTATAAACATGAAAATTGCTGAATTTATTAGTTTGTCTCAACCAAATGTTATAAAGCTTATACACAACCGTTCTAGAGTTACAAATGTATGCGTGTTAACAAATAGAAAAATTGCTGAATTTTTAGTTTCTGTTCTCTACTTAAGTTTGCCTTAACCAAATGTTATGAGACTTACACACAATGCTTATTACCACAAAACTCAGATCAAGTTCAAATTTGGGTAGCGTCACTTTTACCATTCTTCAGTTATGTCCCTTTATAACTATATGATATGCAAGCGGGGGCATCATCTGTGTCCACATGTGGACACTATCCACATTTATTTTATATTCGACTTTGAGATTCACATGTTCTTAGGTCTTCCTATGTATAAATTCCAATACCTTTCACAAGTTTTGCTTTAATGATGTCATTAAAAAAAGTTGTCAATGCCTAAATGTCATATGAATCATAAGAGGGTCTTCAAGGAGTGCATGTGCAATGACAAACAAGAACTAAATAAACCATGTCAAGATGAACGAGAAAAAAAAATACTTATGTGTTTCTTTACCAAATTTTCACAAAAAGCTTTTGAATGATGAGTTCCTAGCATGAAAACATGTGAATTGCAAGCACATTGCAAAAAAATAATCCTTAACTAAGCAATCAAGAGGAACAGATTCCATTATTGTAACTCACAGGAAGCATTATTTCTTCACGCAACAGCTAAATTTCTAAAATTTTAAACGATAGGCTTGAATAGTTCAGTAATCATGGTAATTGTTTTTTTCAAAAAATGTTTGTTTATGCTTTAGCCTCAGGGAAGATTAGTTATATAACAAACTGTGAAACCCTCATAAAATAAAGTTTTGTTGTTAAGTTATTAATGAACAAATATTGTATTTTTCCTTAACTAACAACAGTAACTATTTAGCTTCAGTTGGTCTAGCAGCAGGACTTTTAGCTTTGTTCTCCACCAGCACTAAATGAATGGTGGCCCCCCTGATGGATGACATTACCATAAACACACCTGACGACTCAATGGTTACCATGACAACACAGCTCGTTAGCAGAAGGATCCAGACGTCCATCATAAGGGAACAATTTTACTTGAAACATATTTTGTTTTGCATAGAAAAATTTTGTGTAGATTTTATTAATTATTTGAAAATCGACAAGAAAGCATTTTTAAGAAAAAAGAGAAAAAAAGAAGTGTATTTTGGTTTAGTTTAATCAATTATTTTTATTAAATGTCTACCAAACAATGCTGTTGTTAACATTTGTCATACAAAATTCATTGGTTTCTCTAGTAGCGTATCTACTCTTTAATTGTCTTGTCCTAGTTGAAACGTGCTGATACCAGGCTGGGTCATACAAAAGGTTAAATTAGTATTTCGCTGCCTCTCAGCAAAGCACACAGCATTTAGGTGTAAGAGCAAAGACTGGTTGGCTTTAAGTCTGAATAGGGTGAAGTGTCATTCTGTGGACTTTTACTTTGTGAACTAGTCACCTAAAAATCTGACTCAGTGTGTCTGTCTAGTACAGAGCAGGGTTCATGCTCATATCACATTAACATGATATTTTCCTATGTATGCATTGTTTTGCTATATTTTTACCATTTTTTGTGTTGTTTGTCTATCATCTTGAAAACTATAATAGATAAATGAAACTTTAAAGAGGAAAATTATCAGCAGGATAAGATTTGCAGACTTCAACATTGCTGAAATTGTCAGTTAACTCTTAGTAGAGTTATTTCCCTTTTATGATTTTTTTTTCTAAGAAGTGGTCATTCTTGAGGTACAGGTGAGAGACACAGGCTCATTAGAGCTCTAGTTCAAGGCAGCAGACCTATTTTAAGAGACTTCAGTCTTAAAATCACTGATATTAAAAAAAAAATAAGATGTGCAAATCATTTTCCTAAATGTAGTAAAAGTAACATAGATTTTTTTATTCCTTTACTCATGAATGTTCAAAAAGCATTATTGAAACCAACTATTACAAACATATGACTGACTTCAAAAGTTATCTCCCTTTCCCCAATTTGTACAACCCTAATAAAAAGGTAAGGGCTATTCCATTAAAATGTATGTGGGAGGGCAGGAAGGGAAGTTTAATTATTGAATGTGGGTCATGGGTCTTTTTTCAGTATGCGTCTATCACCATTATGCAAAATTATCTAAAAAATGGTTCTTGGTTGTAGAGATACTTTAAAAGTCCCTTCCTACCCTCCCACATACATTTTAATGGAATAGCCCTAAAACAAAAGATCACAAAAAAATAATATGAACGGATAACTAGTTATAGGTAAATTAGTTGAATAGGTTGTGAAAATGTATAATAGTCATGGTGATTCCCATTCTTTGATGGATTACTAGTGTCACAAGATCTTTGTAATCATCACAACTACTTAGCTTTATTCTTCAAAAATTGCAAAGATGACACACAAGTCTGGATGTTTTTATGGCTAAAGTTAAATTTTAATGGGTTTGCTTCTGTTTCTCAGTAAGTACAGTTGATGTTATTACTAATTTCTAAGAGTAATGGCAATGCCACATTCAAGGATGCATTTGGTAAGGATCCATAAATTGTTTTCCAAAGAGAAAGGCAAGCTAAGAATCTATTTCCAGTTTATATTACACTAAGCTCCGTTTTCATGTGGCCACAAGTTTTTGACATCTGATTTTACAGAGGTTTTCTTTGTTGGAGTTGTTTGGTTGATTAATAGTTGTTTGCTTAATGTTTATTGCCAGTGGCAAATATTTCACACACATCCTAGACAAGAAAATACAAACAATAAATCCTAAAGGTAGGTTTAGCTTAATGGGTTTACTGGGATTTTGCTTAACCTGCCACTCAAAAATGAATATGTTGGGGGCAGATATTTTGCCTTCCTACATGCCACCTATGAACCCCTTAAAAGAGTTGTTACAAGTTCTTAAACATGCAAATTTCTTGTTTGAATTGTTTAAATATTTTTCATGTCGGGGAGTTTTATATCGGACTATTAAAGTATGGAGATTTCTCAAAGTTGAAGGTTGTATGGTGACCTATAATTGCTTACATCTTCGTCATTTGAACTCAGGTGGATCAAAGTGTCATTGGCAATCATACCACATTTCCTAATTTTTATAAGGAGATTGGCACTCTCCATAAATGATGCCCCTTGTCAGACAGAGGCTATATACTTTTGCGTTGCAGTAGCATAGATATGGTAGTGAATGCATAAAATCTTTTACCAATGAATGAAAGGAGTTGGGCATATGTCAATGAGACAGACTAATGAAACAGATAATCATATCACATCTTGGTTGGACTGTTTTAAAAATATCAAAAATGGTTTCTAGGTGGTAACTATAGTTTCCCTTGCTGGATTGGAATGAAGCTTATAAAGATAGAAAATATTAATAAGGTGTAAAACCCTGTCAATTTTGGGGTCAATTGGACAAAAGTCTAAGGTCATTGTTACTTAAAAGACAAGTTTTGGTAAAATGGTTTCTGGCTGGTAGCTTGAGTTTCTATTTTTTGATTGAAATGACACTTGTACAGATGGCAGATATAGGATATGGGACGAAGCCTAATAATGTTTAGGTCAATGGGTCAAAGCTCACTGCTACTAGAAATTGCATTTGTTTTTTAAGATGGTTTCCCACTATGAATTGAAACACATTTATACAGTTGAAAAATTAGCAAAAGCAGTACGTGTTTATTTGTACCTCCAAGCCTACTAGTACTTGAACCCTTTAAATGAATGTTACCCAAGTCCTCTAAATAAATGTACAGATTGTAGGGCATCAGTTAGCAGTAAAATCTTTGTTTATTTATGTTAACTAAAATCAAAATCATGAAAAGTTGGTGTAAGTGACCTACTAACTAAAGTTACTTTTGCCTTGATGAAATGAATCAACTTTGTACAGTTCTCCTCTTAATAAATGTATACCCAACAACTTGAAGTATCTTGGAAACAAATTTTTTAAATATTCAAATTAGTTTATATAGGGTGCTTACTTTGAGTGCTGGAAGTTGTGTGCTTGAACCCTGGTCATATAAAACAATAAGATGTTACTACTTCTCTGTTCATCAATCAGCATTTGGGAGTAAAAGGGAAACTGCTGTGTTCTGAGTCATAATAATATGTCTGGATAGAATGATATGTCTTTCTGTGGACTTCTATTTCCTTGTTCAAGACAGCATTCATCCTGTTGGTAGCTGGACTGTGCTGGTTTTTGTAGGTACCAGTATTTTGCTTTTCCAATGGTTTAGATTGTGTTATATAATAATGGTTTAACCCTTCTTTATTTTTATGCCTGTTCCCAGTCATGCTATCAGGACCAAGTGTTGTTTGTTGTTTTATTTTTAAAGGTGTGTTTGATTAGTTACATGTAGTGTGATTTGTTGTACTGTCCTATATATTTTTTTTCAATTCCTGTTTTCCTCTTTGTATATAAAATGTAAGCTATAAATATAAAAAAAGAATATGTGGTATGATTGCCAATGAGCCTGCATGTTGAATTATATTTACGAATGATGTCCTTGTACTGATGATAAAATTTAGTAAATGTTTTGACTATAAAAAAGAAGATGTGGTATGAATGCCAATGAGATAACTCTCCACAAGAGACTAAATGACACAGAAATTAACAACTATAGGTCACCGTACGGCCTTCAACGATGAGCAAAGCCCATACCGCATAGTTAGCTATAAAATGCTCTGAAATGATAAATGTAAAACAATTTAAAGGAGAAAACTAACAGCCTTAATTTATGTACAAAATAATGAACGTATGTAACACAGCAACAAGCGACAACCACTGAATTACAGGCTCTTGACTTGGGACAGGCACATACAGAATGTTGTGGGGTTAAACATGTTAGTGGGCGCCCAACCCTCCCCCTAACCTGGGACAGTGGTGTAACAGTACAACATAAGAACAAACTATAGAAATCAGTTGAAAAAGGCTTAATTCATCAGATGGATACAAATAGAAATACATCTAACAAAAACACAGCATGGAAGGGTACTGGTACATCCCAACAACAAAATTACACTTAATACAGATCTGAGAGTACTTGCAGTTACTGACAGCAAGTTCAAAGCCAATAACAACTAATAAAAAAATCATGTATCTGAGACTAGCTTAGCTTAAAGTCACAGTCAGTTAGTCACTGTTTGCTCCGTTGTACTATTGTTTTATTTCTAGGTCAAGAATAACATTCCAAGCTAGCTACATATTCAATCCAACAAAATACTGACCAATAAGAATTTCTCATGATGGTAAATTTCATAAAAAATTGATAAACATGACGATTTTTTCTTTCCATGGTGATGTTCGTAAGTTCCCTTCTTATGGACATTTGTCAGTAAGGGAGCTACCATTTGATTTTTATGGGGGCTAGGATGAAAAACTTTGTCCTGCAATTTTTTTTTAGTTGTAATCTCTGTCCTGCCCTTTTTATTTTTCACTCTATTCGGTCCTGTCTTTTTTTATTAGTTTATCCTGACTTTTTTTTTACATAAATTGTCATCCTGCCTTTTTTTTATTTGCCAAGTTGCTCATCCTGCCTTTTTTTTTACCAAGTTGCTCATCCTGCCTTTTTTTGTCACATTTCATCCTAGCCCCCTAACACCCCCCTCCCCTAAAAATCAAATAGTAGCTCCATAAAGTACATGTTTGTAATGATGTCAGAGATTTCAATGACTTTTAAATTTCTATTACTGTAAATTCAAAAATTATTGTGAGGTTTTTATTAATGCGAATAATTCAACTCCCAATAATATGAACTCATATTCTGATCTTTGTTTGTATCTTTTCCTAACTTGCAATAATGACAAACTCCCATCTTTGTCCATTCTTCAAAAATACCATTAATAAATTCATGTAATAATATCTGAATTTACAGTACAAAAAAGTTTAGGGAGCTACCATTTGATTTTTAAAGGGGGGGGGGCTAGAATGAAAAATTGTGTCTTTTTTTTTAATCAAAACTCCTGTCCTGCCTTTTTTTTCAAATTTCATCCTAACCCCCCCATAAAAATCAAATGGTAGCTCCCTTAACAGTAGGGATAAAAATATCACAGATTGGTCAGAATTATACTGAAGGTTATAACAAATACAAAATAATAGAGATTATTAGTTGAAGTACAATTCAACTAAGCTCCAATTTAATAACATTTTTTTTAAAATTGCACAGGCTGAAATGTCTTGCTTGCTTAAATTACTTACCATTGATGTTACATTGATAGTCCTTAATGTAAAGTTTTACTACA